GGTAAAGATTGTGAAAGGTAAAGATTGTGAAAGGTAAAGATTGTGAAAGGTAAAGATTGTGAAATGTGAATATTGTGAAATGTGAATATTGTGAAAGGTAAAGATTGTGAAAGGTAAAGATTGTGAAAGGTAGAGATTCTGAAAGGTGAAGATTGTGAAGTCCCGAATAGTGACATCTCTAACAGAAAGAGTCCCTAGCTGTACGGACTTTTGAAAGTTTGGTTTGGGGGATTCATGAGAAATTAGTTAATTACATGAAATGAAAACCTCCTCTTGCATAACAATTAGAAGCTGCGGTATAGGAGCGACCATGCTTCCCCCTTACCGCTTGCTGCCAGGCCTCAAGATGCATGATAAACTCCTGACCGCTGAGGTAAACACTCCACTGGTTACTTGGCTCTGATCAATGGCCGAGACTCGACCATCTCTAAACAATGGAGCATGATGCACCGCATCACTATGCAGACCAGAGAATGCTAATGAATGCAAAGACAAGGGCGTCTGACAATAGAACTCCGGTGGTGGAGGCAGAACAGTTAGTTAACTATTAAAACTATCATTGATCCGGCTTATAATCCTAATCCCAGCTAAACTGGGGATTAAGTTCGTGCTCGGGTACTCGGATTCTCATCGAGTTATTAACCTAATGTACGGGTCATTTACTTCTTGAGATATTTCGTATGCTGCCAACAAATGAATGACAACGGTCTGGAATTTTAGTGTAGCCAAAGCTATAGTTAGTCATGGAAGTTGCAAAACCCACCTAAAGTTTTCCATATTTCGGAGATAGCGGTGATTATACATGGAATCTCTGTTTTACACTAACTGTTAATTATCTAAAAGGGCAATATGAGTCATAATACGCCATCTTGAATACTCTATTGGTCGAGAAACAATGTCTCTCATCGCCCTACTTTGCTTAGCACACACATAGTCCCGCAGGTTTTCCTACATTATCAGACGTAAATGGTGTTATAGTTCCGCAGGTTTTCCTACACTGCAGACATAAATGGTGTTATAGTCTCGCAGGTCTTCCTACACTGCAGACATAAATGGTGTTATAGTCCCGCAGGTTTTCCTACACTGCAGACATAAATGGTGTTATAGTCCCGCAGGTTTTCCTGCACTGCAGACATAAATGGTGTTATAGTCCCGCAGGTTTTCCTACACTGCAGACATAAATGGTGTTATAGTCCCGCAGGTCTTCCTACACTGCAGACATAAATGGTGTTATAGTCCCGCAGGTGTTCCTACACTGCAGACGTAAATGGTGTTATAGTCCCGCAGGTCTTCCTACACTGCAGACGTAAATGGTGTTATAGACTAGTTTTTAATTGGACTTTTTTCCAAGAAACGACTAGAGTTAAATACAAAATAATTATCATGATTATCTCTTACACAATATGTTGTACTTGCCGTTACTGTCATGATGCATTGGTCGCCACGTCATGCCAAGTCGCGCATGCGTGCAGGATCTCGCGCCCTACATATGCGAGGGTGCGCCGCACTCGCTCAGCGCGCCGCTAGCCCGACATGCCGTTTTTATACGGATAATTAGAAGTTATTTTAGAGCCGCTCGTGTGTTGGCAGCTCGACTGTTATTAAGTTCAGCGTGAGGGAGTGTCGTTATGACTCGTGTATCGAGATTCTTTGCTGCTGCATTTCTCTCCAGTCCGCTCTGTTCTAAGTGTTTTTTTTCTATTAGGGTTATGATAATAATACTTAATAATAGAGTAGAGAATGTTCATTTATCTGGTTAATTTTCCTCTTTTATAATCCTGTACCGCACTGTTCTCTTTGGTCTCTGTCTATTATCGTCCTACGATTTCTTTCATAAATTCATTTGAAAAATTAATTATTCCATTGCATATCAGTAATTCTCCTTGCTGCCTATACTGTTATTTTATATTAAATAATTTATAATCTCCTGTATTGAAAAGATCTACATAATACTAAATAAGAAAATTATAATATATGATACTATACTAATATACTATTCATAAAAATAAAAACCATTTGAGATTCTCCGGCTTTTACCCAAGTATTTATTTTTTTTCGTTCAGGTTATCATAGCCAATTCTAATTATTTTGAATTGGAAAATTTAAATTCATTTGGTCGCGTCGAACTATAAGTTTCATCTGAATGTTGAATGATAAATATTGAAATGAAGTAGAGTTGCGCATTTCCTCTTGGATTTATTTTTTGCACAACACCAAGTTGGAATTATCTTTTAAAGTTCAAGTCGGTATCATAAGTTTCACAAAGTTTGGCGCACTTGATTATATAAATTAACTTTATTGAGGGGTTGAAAGTAATCATAAGAATCTATAATTATTCTCTACGTGCGAATTAATCATTGCATGCGTGAACGGTATGTCGCTCGTGAACAGTTCGTACGTAGAACAAATATGCGTAGAAGTGATGCATCTTGCGGTGACAAGCGAGTTTTTCCTCGCATTGCGAAGAACCATAATGCGGAGCGCTGCTCACGCTCGACAAATAAGAATGTCCTTGTCATGTCGGCGTTCAGAATGCGTGGACTTGCCTTGCTTTTACTACGCGCACGTTAATTTTCACTTGTTTATTGTATGCTTAGAATCGACGTGTCGTAATTGTGGTGGTTGCCAGGCTACTGTGTTGTTGTCAAAATGTTGTGAGTTATAAATAATGTGTTATTTCGTTCCTAAAAGCTCACAAAAACCACATTATTTCGAAAGTGTTTTATAATTTGTAATCATGTCGTGCATAATTTGATCATGTTCAGTAAAATCACCGCGTAAGATTTGTGAAATGTTTTAAAACTTGTAAAGAAGATCTACATAAATCGTGAACATTTTGCCATACTGACTTTAAAAAGCACGGCAAAGTTCAAGCAGCGTTAATTTATTACCAAGTAGAGGCTCTACTTTATTAACTTTTTGTTAATGATGGCCGTTTATATTATTACACAGGTATATCAATAAAAATCAGGAATAAATTCGAAAGTTAGCCCTATTAACCTTATATTGTTAATAGGGCTAACTATTGGTTAATATAGGACTAACGCCGTTCTGCTCTCGCACCAGTAGCGAGGAGTTGCTTCGCATGCTCCCAAAATGCGCTCTGTTCTCGCACCAGCGGCGAGGAGTTGCTTCACATGCTCTTAAAATGCGCTCTGCTCTCGCACCAGCGACGAGGAGTTGCTTCGCATGCTCCCAAAATGCGCTCTGCTCTCGCACCAGCGGCGAGGAGTTGCTTCGCTTGCTCCCAAAATGCGCTCTGCTGTCGCACCAGCGGCGAGGAGATGCTGCGCATGCTCCCAAAATGCGCTCTGCTCTCGCACCAGCGGCGAGGAGTTGCTTCGCATGCTCCCAATATGCGCTCTGTTCTCGCACCAGCGGCGGGGAGTTGCTTCACATGCTTCCAAAATGCGCTCTGCTCTCGCACCAGCGGCGAGGAGTTGCTTCGAGTGCTCCCTTAAAAAAGGAATAGGTCAGTTCGTGGCTGCAGTAAATATACGTCAATTTGAGAGAGAGCTCATTGAGGTGGCCGATGCTCGTGTCTGTTTGAGTTGTTTACCTGACGCTCAGTCTGCGGTTGTTTACATCTTGTCTTTGGTGTGGCGTCCCAATAACCTACAGTCCTAATTGCACTCGGAAAAAGAAGCAGGAAGCATCATTTTTTTTTCTCGAATAATGCGCTTCATGTGAAGCTTTACTTTAACTGCTTTGCAAGAAATTTTTTTTTTTCGTGCCAAATTTTGTTTAAAATTAATTTGATGCTTCGTTTTTAGCATGCTAATCGAAAATACATATTCCATGCCACTCATGGTTGCACAAGCGATATGAGGATTCTGTACTAATGTTCCCTTCTAAAATACTTATTATAACATTTACTTTTCAACACACAAATAATTTGAGGCTTTAGTCCAAGTTCACAATAATTGTTCGCTATATATACTTGCGTCGATATTGGTGTCTGGTTACAGGAAAAACGCTTTTTAATTCTTCAAATGTTGAGTGGAGTTAACTTTTCTCACAAAATTAGCCACAAGCATAATTTGATTTGAATTTTGCAATGGTTGTGAACTTTGTCGCAACCTTCGGCAACTAAAGCATTCTTCTGTTGAATAGTGCAAATTCCTCTACTCCTGCAAACACGGCTTAATAGTTACCGCACATGGAAGTGATGTTCTGAAATGTCTAATTAATAATTCTTTTTACTTTCCTGAATTTCTTTATCTGTGCATTTAAATTTAAAAATGCATACCGAAGAGAACAAGCTCAGTTTCCCTCTCTTTCTCTTTCCTCAAAAGAAAACAAAATCAGTGACATTCTTCGGTTGCTTGTCTCGTTCCTATCTTATAAATCTCTGCTCCTTGTAAAAACACGGCGATTTTCGACGTACATTTTCAACTTGTTAAGAGTGTTATTTTTTGTGTTGTTTGTGCGGGGGTTGCGGTGGTAGAGCTCTGCCAGGATTTTTTTAAGCTGCACCTCTGACAGCGTATCCGCAATTTGCTATTTTTCATGTCAATGGACCCTGCCTGCAGTTCCTTTTCCTGGTGAAATTCATTTATTGCTTTTATTATGTCTTGAACCCTGGAAATATTAGGTTTTTTGAAATAATTAATTTAATGTTTGATGAAGAAAATTACATCAGTGACCCGTATTTAGGACTAGAATCTACCTCCATTACAACCGATATTAAGATGATATTATAGATTCCTATAACATCATACTTACATTTGTGACAAATTTACGAGAAATCTAAAGTGTGATTCAATGTATAAAGTCGTGTAATAACGTAAATTAATGTTAATTTTATCAATATACGCAGCCATGAACGTGTAACTCTGCATTAAAGCGTTATTTGCTTGCACTGCAGGCTCTCGCACGCTCTGTATCGAGTTCAACTTGTACTTTTTCCTGTTTTTTATAGATTTGCTTATGAATATAACTTCTTAAAATATTTTATTTACTACAACACTAATTATCAATAGCTAATTTATTTTACATACCATGACTGAGAAGACTCCTTAATGTTCTGGTCGAATGGTAGTAGTAGCCGAACCTTTCCTCCCTCTGACGTCGCGTGAAGTTCTTCAACGTCTGTCTCGGCTGATTGGGATTAGGCTTCGTGTTTGATCAAATCCAGTTCATAAATTAATTCAAAGTCGATAGTCGTCGCTACTTTCGATCATTTCAAATTTCGATTTGATTGCAACTAATTTTTTCGTTTCCGCGATGTGCTAAACTCAGTCATTTATACGTAAACACATGCAATAGTTAGCGTTTCAGTGTAGTACGGAGGCCATTTGCACTCCACGTCGGAATTCAACATCGTTCCAGATGATACAAATAAGATCTTTCCATTCCTAAATTACTCATAATTCTCGTCAAAGCTGGAAGAAATATTGTGGATTATTTTATTCTCCAAATGCTCTGCGTGACTTTAAAACAAACTACTGCTGAAACGAATGCTGCACAAGAGGAAAGAAAGAATTCGTTGAGCACGAGAAAAAAAACCTTAATTTCTATGGATTATTAGTATAATATTACCATTTTGTAAAAAGAAACGCGTGAGTGGAGCAGTGAGTGAACGAAATTCTTATGGGTGCAGTGAGCGAACGAAATTCTTATGGGTGCAGTGAGTGAACGAAATTCTTATGGGTGCAGTGAGTGAACGAAATTTTTATGGGTGCAGTGAGTGAACGAAATTCTTATGGGTGCAGTGAGCGAACGAAATTCTCATGGGTGCAGTGAGCGAACGAAATTCTTATGGGTGCAGTGAGCGAACGAAATTCTTATGGGGGCAGTGAGTGAACGAAATTCTTATGGGTGCAGTGAGTGAAAGAAATTCTCATGGGTGCAGTGAGTGAACGAAATTCTTATGGGTGCAGTGAGTGAACGAAATTCTTATGGTGCAGTGAGTGGACGAAATTCTTATGGGTGCAGTGAGTGAATGAAATGCATGGAATCAGTATTCGTCACAAACAGTTCATCACTGCATTGCTCTCTATTTTATATCGCCAGCCTCGCAGTGAACATTTATGACGAGCAAGTTAATTTGGTACTGTAATTTGCAGTATTAACTTCCTAAAAGCGACTGTGTCGTTTTCAGGAATGCCTTATTTCTCCTGATATTTCTGACAACTTCTTTTATTAAAATCAACGAAAATATATCTAAAATTTCCATACTCGAATACCCTAGGCTGCAGTTTGTTTTGCAATATGACAACCAAAGAAGGATGTCTGAGACGAGAGAGGTCGAGTGAGTTCTACGATGTTACTTCAGACAAGTTAACTCTAGGCTTACGTAGTTATGATTTATTTGTTAGTACGCGACAATATGGCGAAATTACGATCAGTTTTTGCTCTAGTGCCGTTCATACCACTTTGTAAGATTCATATTTGACTTTCATCGGATTCTGTGTAATTTTTAGAAGTCGAGCGTCTTACTTTTTCGACAATGTTAAAATAAATCACTACCAAGATTCTGACTTTATATAATTTATCAAATATTCTGAAATATTTATCAAAGTTCGACCTAGAACACTCATGGTCATTGGCTTGCTTAACAAAAAGACTGAAGCTACAATGCACTCCAACAAAGTCTCTAAATTTTATTAGGTACCGCAGTGAGTTATTTATGATTGCAATTAATGCCAGACGATGAAGGGGAACGTCAGATCACAGATCTTCGAGAACAAAGAACAATGATCATGTGGATCCCTAGCCGTGCACTTTTGAAACGAATACAATCGTGCACAAATTAAAAACGTAAAATTACGATAATTTTGTACGTTTACAATTTCAGTTTTTTTTCAAAGAATTTTGGAAATGTCGGAACTTTAAGCCGGGGAAGTCAATGTTACTAGCGCTTTAGTGTGCGTTAATCTGAAGACTTTTGAAATGAATATAATCGTGCACAAATTTTCAACGTAAAATTACAATTTTTGTAGGTTGACGATTTCAGTTCTTGTTTCCTCAAAGAATTTTGAAAATGTTGAAACTTTGAGCCGAGGACGCCAATGTTACTAGCGCTTTAGTTTGCGTTACTCTGAAGACGCGGCCAGTATACACGACCCGGGGTACTGATACAGTGGCTGCGGCGGACAAGACTCAACTGCCTCGCCCTGCCACCCGGCACCCCGTCAGGCATGCGGGGTGCTGCTCTGCTATGTGCTGTGCTATGCTGCTATGTGCTGTGCTGCTATGTGTTGTGCTGTGCTATGCTTCTGTGCTGCTATGTGCTGTGTTGTGCTGCTATTGTGCTGCTATGTGCTGTGCTGCTATGTGCTGTGCTGTGCTGCTATGTGCTGTGCTGCTATGTGCTGTGCTGCTATGTGCTGTGCTGTGCTGCTATGTGCTGTGATGCTCTGTTTGCTGTGCTGCTCTGATTGCTGTGATGTGTTGCTCTACTGCGGCTGCTTTACTTCTGCTGCTCTGTTGTGCTGCTGCTGCTGCATTGCTGTCTTGCTCTACTGCTGCTGCTCTACTGCTGCTGCTCTACTGTGCTTCTGCTCTGCTTTGCTGTGCTGTAGCTCTGCTGTGTCATGCTGCTGTGCTGTGCTGCTGTTCTGCTGTGCTGCTGCTTGTCATGGCATGCCTGCAGTTTCTGTTGTTTTTTTCGTCGTGCCAAGGATTATTTGTCTCTTGCGGTTGGTGCTGCCGTTGCTGTTGTTTTTATTCCTAATCCCAATGATTCTTCTTCTCGTTGAGCGGGTCATGCTTTGCTGTTGTTTTATTACTTTTCTCAAAGAGACTTTTCCGGTCTTTTGCGTTTGCCGTTGTTTTTATATGATGTTCGTGTCGCATTACTGTTAATGTTTACATTACTGTTATTAAGCTCCAAGCTACTCTTAATTCTGCTGCTGTTCACATTGAGGTGTTAAAAATCTTGCTGTGAATCCTTTGTTTCAGCCACGATGCTACGACATTACCACTGATGTCAATGTATTCTCTTAATTGTAATTTTTTTCTACCTTTACGATTTTTGCTTTTGGACTCTTCCGCTGTCCTCGGGGGCACCTGATACCTTGCTTTTTTCCATTTGCTGCTCATGCCTCAAAAATTTTTACTGCTTCCGTTTCTCGTGATGTCGTAGTTTCCCTCAGTGCTCCCGTTGCGCTCATACTCCTTCTGTTTACAAGTGTTTGCGTTTCGTGCGTTTTTCAACGGAAGTGATTCAGCGACTGCTCATGTTATTGTTATTAATGTTGTTTTGGGTGGCGGGATGCAGCAGGCTGCAGGAAATTCTTGCCCGCGTCTGGGATCTGGTAAACACGTCCGATGCTCCAATATAAGATGGGCCAAAAATACAACTTGTTGCGGTATCCTAGTAGCCGGCCAGATGCTTGCGCTGCTGCTGGCATAGCTGTGAGAACGACTCGTTGTTTGGTTCAAGGTCGTTGACGAAAAAGTCTTGATTCTATGACCGGATTTGTGGGATTATTTGAAGTTCAGTTTACGCTGCCCGTGAAAGTGTTGAATTATTTGTGGTTATTTTCTATTATGATCAAAGTCACTGGGTATAGCTTTCAAATTATTTTTGTATTTTAAAATAATCCTTTTGTAATTTTTTTGTTTTCGTATGTTCCATAGTTTTATTTTAGAAACCTAAAGCATAGTATGTGGTTTATATTCTCTCTCTTCGTTTTGTTATCAAATTTCGTGAATTTAAGAGTATTAACTTTATACGCTTACAATGCATCTGAAAATATTTATATTTCTGCAGTTGTTTCGTTAAGTACGAACAGCTTGGATTATGTAGCACAGAAAAAAAATATTCATGTTACTGAGGTTCATTTCCTTTTGCAGTGTTCTAGAATTTTTCTTTTCATTTTGAAATGTTAATATAATGATGATTTAAATAGCCCCGGACGAATAAAAATAAGTGATTTGAGATATTTTGAAGAATTTACGACCAAAATTCTGTTTTTTCTTTACAGATTTTCTTCGATATGTAGGCGTCCTTATCTGATTATCGTCTGTGTTCGAATGTAATACTTCTTCGTAATTTTAACATTAAGTGCACCCTGCAAAACTTTCACCCGCAGAGACGGAAGCTCAACACCACAATTTCGTAAACATTAACTTCTCTAAATTCTTTACGAGCATTGCTTTGCTTTGCGTAAGCAAGCATGCAACATTACCTGATAAACGACGCTGCGTTTCCAGGTTGTTTACCTTCACAAGAATTATCTTTTAGTGATTTTTACTACTCCTAAATTTAAGACAAGCGCAGACCATTACTGGGTGGGTAAGAACTATCGAAGAAATGTGTTATTGATAAATTACTACAGTCGCCGTTAACTCAGTACAAGGTGCATGTGTTAACTCAATTGCATGTCTGCGAACACAGAAACGCGCTCTCGAGTTCATACATTTCTTCTTTGTAGACGTAGAAAAACGTTAAAAATTAAACGGCTGCTGATAATTTGTGAAGGAATACCGGCCAGTTCCTTGAAGGGTATTTCATTTTAATTTTGAATTAATTTTCCCATTAATCAGTACAGAAATGTTCATTCAAGGTGATGCCCTGATAGAGTATGACATGGATACAAATTCTACGGTGTTTGCAACTCATGTTTAGGTATCTCTCAGAGAAGATTTTTATTTTTCATTCATTTTATCCTTCTCATTTAGTTACAACTTTATTTCTGTTACCAACTAAAAAAGTTTACATTCCCGTGTATACATTTGTTCATAATTTAAGAAGCTCAACATGAAATTTTCAAAAATCTTTCTCTGTTCATGGAAACTATGCATCCGTTCTACCCAGCGCGCCTCTCTAAATAATTTTCTTCTTACTCCAACACAATTTTAGTAATTAATTTTCTAATCCATTTCAAAATTAATTTTCAGAGCTGTTCAATGGAGGTAACGACCGAGAGCGTTGCAGTGATGGCCGCCACGCTCGCCAACGGTGGAATCTGTCCCATCACGGGAGACCAGGTGCTGCAGCCCGCCGCGGTCAGAGACGTGCTGTCACTCATGCACTCCTGTGGCATGTACGATTATTCCGGCCAGTTTGCCTTCAAGGTGAGGAACTGCAATGGAGCCCATTATATGCCTTGTAATGCCAGGCAACTTATATTACTGAGTGATTTCTCTCGCCTGTCTGCCATTAACGTAAAGCAGCGCAGTCGCAGTGGAACCCATCACATGTCTTGTAAAGCTAGGCAACTTATTTTATTGTGTAATTACTCTGGCCTGTCTGCCTTCAAGGTGAGGAACACATACAGTGGAACCCATCACATGTATTGTAAAGCTAGGCAACTTATTTTATTGTGTGATTACTCTGGCCTGTCTGCCTTCAAGGTGAGGAACACATACAGTGGAACCCATCACATGTATTGTAAAGCTGGCAACTTATATTATTATTGTGTGATTTCTCTGGCCTGTCTGCCATTAACGTAATGCAGCGCAGTCGCAATGGTGCCCATCACACTAAATGTAACTAAATTACTATGATCGAGGCTATCGCGTGTCTTGTAATGCAAAACAGTTTAGTATTGTGTGATCACGCTGTCCAATTTGCCTTCAATTTGATATGCAACAGTGATCTTCTAAATTAGAGTTTAGAGTTTAATTTGAGAACTGCATTTCACGCGTTAGAAATGAGTTTTTTTACTACCCAATGAATTTCCCTTGAAGATGGGGTGCATAGCTACTTCGGGAACGAAGTCCTCATCAAATATGAATTAATGTCGTTAAGGTCAAAGTAACATTTTAAATGTGTAAAAAATATATTCTAAGTGGTCCAAACAAAGTGACCAAACCACTCCGTCGAATGCTTAGATAGATTTAGGCAAGTGCTTTAAAAGAAAGTTTGCAGTAACCAAACCGGATATGTTGAAAGAGCTAAATAACTGTCGTCATGCATGCATTTTAAGTACGTGTTCTGACCAGTTTTAAAATTAAAGTTCTTCTCTAAAACCGCCACGGCGACTGTGTCGCAGCTCAGGCCTTGTTACCGTGCCCTGCAAATGCAGCTCGCTTGTCATGTCTCCGTGACATGGCAGAGGCTCTCGCTGTTTACGTTGCCTTGTACGAGCAGGTTTTAGAGACCTTTCCCCTCCCTCCTGCTCTTTGAACTGCATTTCTTTAACATTGAGAGAACCTATGGTGTACGATCCACGGGGATACGCAATTCTCACTCTCTACCGACTCGTGTTAATCTTCATCTGTATTTCAGCCATCAATGTAAATATCTCCGAATTAAACACAACTTACGGGTGTTCCTATCGCCATCCTGACTACCTAATTTCTGAAGTATATTTTTGGCTTTGACAAAATATGATCTATCAAACTTTTGTTGATTGTTTTGTAGATTTTGCTTTTTTGCTCATGAATTGATTTCTTCGCGCTTTTTTATAAATAATGCAATGCGTTTACGAATGATTGTGCTGCTATGTTGCTGTGATAAAAACCTCTTCTCTGATACTCGATTAAATTTTTTCTTCAAAAAACACAGGCAATACTACCATTTCACGGGCCACAAAAATGAATAGCAATGAAAATTTCAATCGAAGATTAAAATGCGTACAGCCACACGAAATTTAGACTGTATTGCAGAGGCCACACATCTGCTTGGCACCAATTGAAGCTGAGCAAACATTACCTATGGCATAACAATTTTGAACGCTTTTTTGGCTCATTATCTGCCGCCTATAAACCGCCTGTAAGTTTGAACCATTCCTGCCTCTGTTCCTCTCGTGAGGCTGGTGCTGAGTGTTAGCATTCCTCACCAGGTGGGGGTACCAGCCAAGTCTGGCGTGTGTGGGGCCGTGATGCTCGTCATCCCCAACGTCGTGGGCATATGCACGTGGTCGCCTCCTCTGGACACCCTCGGAAACAGCGTTCGAGGCATCAAGTTTGCTGAGGTCAGACTATTCTGTAAAGTTATCGTGTTGGGTTATCTTGTCAGGTTATCTTGCCAGGTTATCCTGTCAGGTTATCTTGTCAGGTTATACTGTCAGGTTATCTTGTCAGGTTATACTGTCAGCTTAACTTGCTTGGTTATTTTGCCAGGTTATCCTTTCGTCGGATAGGCTTTCTGTTAACGCAGTTTTTTGTGGTGTGATCTTTGTTGACTTTGCCCAAATGAACATAACTACAATAAGCTCATCGTTCACGTTCATTGAATTTATAATTTATAATAAAAATAGCAAATTATTTTAACTAATTCATAATTGGTACTCTTCTGAGCAAAAAAAAATACTTACAAACTTCTGTCGAACTTTGAAATATGAACCGAGGTAAGATAGGTGAATCATTAATTCTAGTTATAAATATGTAAATAATCTAATTTATTATTCCAATAATGATTTAGCTTAGTTGTCGCTACAGATATTTGTGATTCATCAATTCAAACCCTGACCACACACTGAAAAATAAGTAAGATTTTGTCTAAATAGCGAAGAACTTTTTTATTGCGTGCAGTTTTCTATACTCGTATTGTTGCTATTTTGTTCGTTTGCTATACTCGTATCATTGCTTGTATTACTCGTATCATTTCAATACATTCGCTTCCTGCTCGTACTATTGATAAGTAAATGGGTCTCTTGTTGTACTATGGATAAGTAAATGGGTCTCTAGTTGGACAATATAACTCAATAATTATTCAGAGTGTATACGAACTGGAGACACGTTCCAGAACTTGGTGGAGATGTTCAACTTCCACCGGTACGACAACCTGCGCTTTGCTGCCAACAAGAAAGACCCGCGTCGTGAGAAGTACGAGACTCGCGGGCAGAAGGTTGTGTCGCTGCTCTTCTCCGCCTCTACTGGGGACGTTACCGCCATGCGCAGGTCTCATTTTGTTGTGCACGGTGTGCAACTGTGTTTTTTTTTTCTTTTACACACAATACTTAATATTGTTTTTTTTCTTGTACATGGTATTTAACATTGTTTTTTCTTGAACGTGGTGTTTAACATTGTTTTTTTTTCTTGTTCATGGTATTCAACATTGTTTTTTCTTGTACACGGTATTTAACATTGTTTTTTTCTTGTTCATGGTATTCAACATTGTTTTGTCCTGTACACGGTATTTAACATTGTTTTTTCTTGTACATGGTATTAAACGATTTTTTTACATGGTATACAACGGGTGTTTATTTCTCTTTGTATATGACATTGTTTATTTTTTTCATGTACATGGAATTTAACGTTTCTCTTTTTGTTACATGGTATTTATCAGTGTTTTTTTCTTTACACGGTATACAACAGTGTTTTTAACGAGATTAGGGAATAGAGTAAAACAACTTTCACTTTCGACTTTACAAATAACACTTCTTTCGGTTGTGTTACACTCCTGCATTCCTAGACTGTCGAATTCCTGGACTGGCACTTGTTTATAAAAGATTTTCTCCTCTTTTACAGCTGCGATAACATAAATGCTTTTGAAATCTAAATAAATAGGAAATTTTATTTGTAACTGCAGTTCGTTTAGTCCAAAAGGGCTATGACAATGCAAAGTAAATTTTTCACTTGCATCGACAATTGAAAATTAAAGCTCAAATGAAAATTGTCCATCACGGATTGATTTCCATTTCAGTAACAACCTCATTACGTTTCAAATGATTTAAAATAATTTGCTTATCCACCGTATATTCTTGCGTACCTCAAAGGATCCATTCCAGGTACAATAAAAATTTTTCATTATTTTTTTCTACTGAAATCAAATCATTACTGATAAATTTGTAATATTGCCCAGCTAGTTGCCTGCAACACGCGCCCCTCCTCATTCTTTTCCAATTCTAATAATCAGTTTTGCCTCCAATTGCTTTCTTGATTTTTTTTAATTCTTAATAAAAACATCATAATCAATAAGCACTTAATATTTAAGCCTAACTTTTTGCGTCGCCATAAAGCATTGCTTTTGATTCATATTTCTGCTTCTTACGGTCGTGTTTGTTGTTCCCGACGATACACTTAAAATTATCTCATACTAGCTTTTCCCATTTTATTGTTGCTAATTATTTTGAAAAATCTTTAAGATTTTGAAATTTTATATCGCAGGGCTATATTAGCGCCGATATTTTTGTCTATCCTCTGTATACGGTGAGAGAATAAAACAATAAATTTTATTATTACTTTGAAATTATTACTTTATTTCTATTGATGTTTCTTGATAGAAGTAGAGAAGGCGTAGTTATTGCTTCAAATAACGCGCTCGTCGCTCTGCAAACAGTATTCTCACTCGCACTATAAACAACAACTATCGTTCATCATATCACTTTTACCGCTCTCATTCAGCACTATGTGTTGCTTTGTTTACCGATGTCACTATACCGATGTGTCTGTTGTATATTGTTATATATGTATATGATATAATGGTGTAAAAGCCTTATACGCAAGTTCCACTTCATCCGCTTGTAGACGTGAATATTGCTATAAAGTTCAGCAATACGTTTGCGATTTACCAGAAAGTTTCAAGAGATGCAGGTAAGAAACATGTACCAGGTTCTGTGATGGAATAAAGCTTTATATTGAACCAATTCGCTAAATGAAATAGTAATAGTAATATGTGTGTCCGTCCATTCGTTAGATTTGAGTTTAATCGATGAAGCTATTATGGGAAAAGAATTCTACTGCATATCGTCTAAATAATCCTGATTGTTGGCCGAAAAAAATTATAAATGCCAGGCTATCACTAAATTCCATCGCCAGTTTAAAAAACTACAAATAAAAATTCCATTCGTTCAAAAGTAAATTCGTGGCTTCAAATTGCTAAGCTTTGTTACCGTTGCCGGATGGTGTTCAATCGCGCGTCTATGGTTATTTTTCCGCATTTATTTCCATTGAACTTGGCTACTCATTCCTGTGATAAAAACCTAAATTTTGTCTCTTTTTATCTGCTTGATCAGTTGATACGATCGTTATTGAGTGATTTTAATTATAATTTAGTAATACAATGATGAAGTATCCACTTTGCTGATACTTAATTCATTAAACAGGTAAATGAACTGAATTAAACTCAGGATAAAGGATGCCTCAGACGATCTGAATTATTATGACCACCAACTACGCATTTGACAATCTGCTTGCGCTTTGCCCACGTACAGTAGTTCTAGTAATTACCGGGGAGGTAATATCAAAACTCGCTTATATGTATACACTCGTATCGGCTGATTTTGCTTATAAGATTGGTGGGTTTAGCTTGAATAGCTGTTAGTGATAGACCGACGTAATTACGACCTCATAACGGTTTTTGATAGTGCGGCTCCTGGCCTTTATATAATATATACGGTCAATGAATCCGATGTCTAAGGAGAAAATAGCTGATTATGTGTTGAGCTTTAATGCCTTGGCTGCGAAAAGAAATGTTACGGGGTGGCCATGAAAGACGAAGAAAAAATTAAAGACAACGAGAGACGAATATCACCACATTGCGCATAATCTGGAATGTTGTAAGTTTATGCGGTTGATTTGGGTTGGGGAGGAGGCCAGGAAACCTATCAAGGCTTCAGGAGGTTTGCACAGAAGAGCGAGGGTAGGATAATGGCTAATTATTTAAGTTCATGATGTCATCATGTTGTTGTTTATGTTTGTGTTGAGGCCTCTCCCTCCCGCAGGTACGCGCTGTCGGGCCTCAACATGAGCGAGTGCGACTACGATGGCAGGACGGCGCTGCACCTCGCCGCTGCTGAAGGCCATCTCGACGTCGTCAAGTTCCTCCTCGAGAAGTGTAGAGTCAACATCACTCCTCTCGACAGGTCCCAATCGTCCTTATACTGCTAGTCTCATTCCTCCTTAAAACATTTAAGAAGCGTGCCATTTAGGATTAATCCAGAAATGTACAATATGAAATCTTGCATGGAAGCTTTTCACTTTAATTTTCAATCGTAAGCTTCGCTGCCCCTCTTTCAAAATCAACTACTTATATCAACGTCAACAGGTGGAAGCGAACGCCTGCTGATGACGCGGATGAATTCGGATTCACGGAAGTGGCCAAATTCCTCCGCGAGTTCGCGACCAATCACCCAGACCAGTGCGGCACCGACGATATGGTCAAGTCTCCTCCTCCCACCATTCCTGAAATCCCTGAAGATAAAGTGTCTTCTCCAGACTCCCCGAACTAACATATTTCTCCATAGCACTGGCAAATTCTTGGAACGACACTTACTATCCATAATTCTTCCTTTTCTGTTTGTCGTGGTTGTGAAAAATGGTCGGAATTGCTGTGGCATTGCCGGTCCTGTTGTAGCAAATTTGAGATCTTTCTTGAATGATGCACTTGAATGATGGACGATGTCTGTGTTTATTTGTTATAGCGTTAAGAAATTGTCCAGGGTATTTGTAATTTATCATGTGTGTTTCTTCACTAATTTTTTTACGTTCTTGAGCGATATTTTGCAAATTTTACTCTAGTAATGTAAGTCCATCAACGAGAAGGCCAACCGGCTTGCTTTTCCTATTTTACCGAGAAGGTCAACCGGTGTTTGTTCATCGCAACAATAGCTTAGACGCATCGAGTGTCCTGACAGACATAGGGCAACGTTGTTATCACCCTTATTGTTTACCATAAGTTATTGTTTACCTAAAGTTATTGGTTACCGAAAATTATTGTTTACCAAAAGTTATTGGTTATCAAAAGTTATTGGTTATCAAAATGTTATTGTTTACCAACGACTACGATGCTTCTAAAAAGTTATTTTTCCCCAAATGTTATTGCTGCACGCAAACCTTGAATTATTTTAATCGGCTCAACAGTGGACTCCATCTGCCAGATACAAAAATGTGAGAATTTGGCACCTGATTCGTCTGATTAAAAAATAAAGAAACTTCAGTTAAGGGAAGATTGAATTTTACAGTTTTAACTGGCTTGACTGTCGTTTGTTGTATATATTCTTTTGATTTTGCTCATTGAGGGTGGAAAAATATTTTTCTTTTTGTATTCAAGTGGGAACTTTCATAGATGACCCAAAGTTTAAGCGTTATTTTTCTTAATACGTAAATATTCCACTCGAATGTTTTTATTCAAAAGCAATGATCAATACAGTACGCATCTGACAGTATTTCTGGTTTTCAATAAAGGTTTCCGATGCACATTCGTTGATGCCAGTTACTCGTCGTGATCGTGTTCTACTGTGAAATATTTAGACATTGTATGTGCACGCACTCAGTGCTATTAAATAGAGATTTTAGTTACCACTGCCAAGTTAACAGCAACTGAGGAAATCGCTTTTTTCGACGGTGGGAACCTCTGCACCAGCTATGTTATTGTATCGCATAAGAGAAGTATTGCCTACAGAGTATTCTTATTCAATATAACCTTGCCATCTTATAATTGGGGCGCCGAAGTTCAATGATCACTCTTTTCTTTCATGCTGAGTTGACGCTGATATTTTGTATTTTAATCAACTCTTGCAGTCACAAACTTTGAGAACTGCGTTCTATTTCTATGAACTACTTTCTCCCAATTTGTTAAATTGCATCGCTTTTCTTATTGACGCACTGTCTTGTCCCCGGCCATTACATTAAATGTCGTCACGTTGGTTTACTGCAGAAAGTTACTCACATTTTATTGATGTTCTTGTTAAAAATGTCCATGCATCGTCAATTGCATGGGTGAAATAGAGTATTAAGTGCTGTGTATTATTAAGAAAGTTTGAGCAAATAGTTCTTTGTTATGTTACTTGCAAAGTGCTAGGCCCTGTGCTTAAATTGTCAAGTTGTTTGAACCTATAGAATAAGATGCTTGACAGGAAATATTGCAATGTTATTCTTATAGAAGGCGGCCTCTGCTGACACCTAGGAGCTGTCTGACCAAATGCTCGTCACGCTTTGCTATTGACGGAAAAAATTATTTTAAATCCTTCACTAAAATTGATGCTATGACGACAAGCACGTTTATACTACTCATCGAAACGAATATCAGATTTGTAGGTGTGAGTTAAAGATGCATGTGTGAATGTTGTGTGTTTCTCGATAACTTGATTGAAGTTCGTTAACTTGAGTATATGTACTAATGTTAAGGTATGGAATGGTATTGTATTTGCGATGGTTGAAAAATTAGGCACTGTTTTGCGCTTAAAGTTGACTCATATTCTTGACACATGTTCGTCGTTTTACACTTGTTTAGTTTTCAATGAAGGCGTTGAAATCTTCGTGGAGGATTTTCAAAATATGGATGACAATGAGTTTTATATAAGTGTCGTTCAAGATTAATTATTCATGCGCAATATTCACGGTTGATGTCTTGGATTAACGAGTAAAACTGGGTGGTGCTTTAAAGATCTGACTGCAATACGGTACTAGAGAGCAATACGTTGCATGCTGTGGTGTTATCTTGTCTTCCTGTAGAAACTATATGCTCTTGCTTCGTCCGATAGCCTAATTAGTCTATAAAAGATTAGTAGAGATGGTAATGAGATTAGTTTAATTAGCGTCAGAGTGGTAAACTAGAGCAGATGTTCGTCAGCCTTCTCTTCGTCTTCCGAACGATTCGCTTTGCAATCCGAAAGAGTAAATTATTTGATTGTCTAAAACACGAATATCATCATGCCTATAAAATTCACGAGATCATGCCAATAAAAAAGCAGTTTGGCCAATAAAAATCTGTCATATGCCACTAATAGTAAGCATTGTTCGAACTGAGTTAGACGCCGTTAGGCTATAGTGCGTTACTCCCGTTCCATTCTGTCATGTTAGCATCACCAGGCTCGTTAATTAGCTTTTTACGTTAAACTCTTCGTGCGAAATGAAACTATGCTTGCGATGTTGAAAGAAAACCCATGCACCCTTCAGCAATAGGCATTTTTTTATTGAACACTTATACGTTCATGCTAAGTGATCTTTGCATCGCCATATACTCGTGAAATGCTCCAATCCTATCAATTATTTCATCATTTTGATTCTGATTTATTTTCTTCCCGGATGTAACTCAGCTCCATCAGACAAACGATGTTGAATTAACATTAAAAAAAATGTTATTGGGTTGAATAAACGTTTATTAAACGTTGTTTCAACATCGTTCGCCTTAACTAAGGTCGCACTTTCCAAACATTGCCCGGAGGAAGTCATAAACTCATTCTTGCAGCGTTGTCATGTTTTAAATCGGCTTCAGAAAATCGTTCAATTTTATATAAAAATCATTCAATATTTTTCACATAAATTGAGCACTTTGCAATAAAAAGATTCTTTCAGGAACAGTAAACCATTTAATGTGAACTTTAGATTAATTAATATGGTTTTAAAATTGACACATGACAGGAATAACTATGAAGGTTTTTTGTTGTAAAATATCATTACATTTTTGAGCAACAAAGTCTTGCAGTTACTTTCCTACCATAGTTGTCGTTTTTTTGCAGGACATTTTCAATTATAATTTGACATGGAAATCCAGCCTGTCGTAAAGAAGTTAGCACTGTGTTATTGGAAAAGTACTAATATGTTGGTTGATATTTCGGTACTAAAGCTTAGATTGTGCATTCAGTGCATTTTGGTCTCTTTGCTCTCAATCTGTGAGAGACATTGGTTGTTTTTCTTGGTTTAGGGCTATAGAGACCGATTAAACTGCGCTGCAACTTCTCCACGCGACAAAATTTCTTCTCGCTTCGAATCACTGACATGTGGAACAGCCTCCCCAATGACATCGTTGGCGCTCCAAGTATGAACGCGTTCAAGAACAGACTAGATAAAGCTATGTAAAAATATATGTTCAGATTTGAAATGCCTAGCTCCTTATCGAACCCGGTGGAAGTCTAGTAGCTACTTCAAACTATCGTCAGTCATGAAAAGATCCGGTCAAATGACACGAGTTTAGATCTATGAATGTCCAGGCAAGCATCAGTAATTATGTTCAGACAAGCATAAGTAATTATGTTCAGACAAGCATCAGTAATTATGTTCAGACAAGCATCAGTAATTAAGGCTGTTCAAATTCAAAGACGTTATAATAATTATCAAAACAAAATACTCTATCATCCTCACAACATACATTTTCTTAAGTAAATCAGATTAATAGAATTAGTATAAGTGAAACATTTAAATTAAACCTCAAATTTAACGTCATGTTGTCACCCAGTTCAAACAAGTCAGTAGTTAATGATAAATGAATGATGACCGATGCAGCCAAATAACATAGACCCCCTCTAAATACATATCCTATGCTCAGTATAGAAAAGGTTAAGGGTAGAACTATAAAAATAAAGCTCATAGCTAGGAATTTAGCCTTGTGTTATGTTCGTATTATGTTCGTATTATGTTTAGATATTATAATTGATATAATATTTTTATTTGCGTTAAAGATAATGGATTCGTGGCTTAAATAAATTTAAAAAAATTCCCGGCTTATGCAAATCAAAAAAATTCCCGGCTTTGCAAAATTAAAAAAAAATTCGAGGCTTACAAAAATTCATTTGTTGTCTGAATTGATGTACGCCATCCTGTCTTATTTTTCCGAGTGTTCAAATATACAATATCGCGATTTTATCATTTTTTTATCCTACTAAAAAACTAGTGAAAATGTCGATGTTCGTTATACGCCGCCGAAAAAACTTTACAATCTTTTCAACTTAAAAATTGCTCAACGATAAAGCTATCATCGGTGCCAGTAGCATTCTAATGATAAGCATTTACATCATTAGTTTTCTTAACTCGAAATTTCGCCAAGAATTTAAAAGCGAAAAAAACAACGAGTAAATTTGCCGTAGAATCTAGAAGCAAAAGAAAAGCCAATTGAATTCTCATTATCTTCAATAATTTTTTAAACAATTAAAATAAATTAACCATCAAAACATGCGATTCATCATTAAAAAATATTATATTAATAAGACTTTAAATTTTCTGGACATTGTCTCAAAAGGAACACCAAAAAAATGGAAAAGTACAATGAATATAGTTTTTCTACGAATAAATATCATTAACTAAATATCAAATAACAATTAGTTATTAACGCTTACAATTATTGCAGTATTATTTCAATTATACTATCACAATCTACGAAAAAATACGTTTTTTCGAATTACTACGTATACCAACTATCGATTACTGTACAATTTTTTCTATTCTGTTATATTGATAAATTAAATATTTAATCAACGACTATTACATGTCATTATTATATAAAAAAAATTTCTACTTTATCTATCACTAAAATATTTATCGGTAACAGTACTATTTCAATGATTATTATTTAATTTTACTGATAAATAAGCTGTTTATCTTTAACATTTTATATTTAATATTTAACAATTTATTTCATTTTATTTTTTTTATTTTTATTATTTTATTTCAGCAACATTTCATTTTTTATCTTCAACATATAATATTTCTTTTTATCTTTTTCTTTTTCAACTTTAACATTTTACTAATAACTAAAAATTAATGTCGATAATTGATTATTCGCTCAAAAAATAGAACGCAACAAAATTTATCTTCATGATCTGCTACAAGCAGAAAAATATTTCATAGGAAGGAACAAGAATTAACCAAAAATTGGCGCTTTAATAGGCAAAAATCCGAATAAATAATATTAATTTATAATTCATGATTCATGAATGTTCATTAATCATATTAATTCAAAATTTGTAACAATTCATAATTCATAATAATTTATAATTCAGGTTAATTCACGATATTTCATAATAATTCATAACATAAT